TGATAAATTTGTATATACTCAATGTATTAGTTTCCTATAGCTGCTGTTACAAAGCACCACAAACTAGGTGGCTTTGAACAACAGGAATTTATTCTCTCGCTGTTCTGGAAGCTAGAAGTCCAAAACCAAGGTGTTGAATCTGTTCCATGCCTTTCTCTTAGTTTCTGGCTGTTGCTGTAAATCCTTGGCATTTCTTGGCTTGTAGGTACCTCATTCCAATCTCTGCCTCCATTTTCATATGTTATTCCCTCCTACCCATTTTTGTGTCTTCACACGGCCTTCTTATTCTGACACCAGTCATTGGATGTTAGGTCCATCCCCCAATCCAGTATGATCTCATCTTACTTGGTTACATCTTGAATACCCAATTTCCACATAAGGTCACATTCACTGGTACAGGAGGTTAGAACTTGAATATGTTTTTGGGTGGGGGAATGGGACACAATCCAACCCACACAACTCAATAAATCTTGTTTAATGGTGACAATAATATACCGAGTGGTTTACATATATATCATTGTGGATCTCCGCAACAACTCCAATATGCTTTATATGTTATAAACCTTTCGGAGAGTTGTTTATTGTGAAATTCAGAGATACTGCATGATGCTCTTGGTCATAAACCTATTGCTTCCAGACTTCAAGAGAATTCCACATGTAGCATGATCCCAATATTTGATGAATAAGTCTTTTATCACCATACTCAGTATTCATGAGTGTCTGGAACCCTGCTATATCCCCAGTGAGACTTCATCCCACACAAGATGGCAGAGGAAAGTACTGTAGCAATGCCCCTCGCCCACAGAAGTATTACTTTTATGGGCATCACTAGGATAAGTAATCAGCAAGGGGAATTGGCACTATGCTAAGACTTTGGCCTGTAAAACTCTACAATTGACTGGGTTTTAGAACCAAAGCTATAAGCTGTGTCTACTTAATCTTATTGTGACAAGAGAATGAACTGGCTGGGAGGCATGGTGGCTATCCATGGATCCTTGAGAGTGGAGCTGAGTCTCATCACTGACTGCCACATCTCCACCAGGATGCTGGGCAGCATGGGTGCTGGCTAGATGCTTGTTGCAGGCTGGCTGAGGCTGAGGGACTTAAAGTACCTCTACACTGAAACCTTCCACCTGTTGGTCACACCTGCTGGCAGTTGACCCTGAAGATGTCTAGATTAGAATTAATCCACTGCCAGATAATCTTTTAGTTCATCAAGTCACATACACGCAAACACACACACACACACACACACACACACACACACACACACACACACAATTATAGTTTGTCTTATACCAGAGTTAAGGCGTGTTTATTCTGAAGCAGTGGATTTCAAACTTTTGAAGAATTTCTTGGCAGCCCAACCATTCAATGCGAAGCTTTACACAGCGTGCAAGTCCTGTGGGGAGCCTAGGGCCCTGATGGTGGTGAGAGCCTTCTCCCTCCTCTTCCCTTCTCCCTCCCCCACACCCAAACAGTGACCTCCTGTGGCAGCTCTGGGGAAACAGGGTCCTTGCAGAATGCAGACTGCCTCTCTGTCCCTGGAGGTAGCAGTCATCAGGCACCTTGGAGAAACCCTGTGGAGGGACAGTGCTCTCTTAAATAGCCCAAGGTCGGCCTCTTTTTGCCCATGTGGATGCACTTTCTTTTCCAGTGAGCCTCATCTGCTCCTCCCCCTGAGAATTATTCCCTCATGTGCCTTCCCATCCAACAGAGCAAATCACTCCTTCTCTGTGGTCCTTCCTCATGCCTGCATTGGAGAGAGCCAGTGACTCTGAGAGCACTTTGCAATTATATGAATGCAATGGCCTTGGGCCTTCTGGTCCAGACTTCTCTTCTAGCAGGAGGACCGTCCTCACTGGCAAAAACCCTGCCTTCTGTAACACCATTCCACTGCCTTTTCTTCCGGTCTCCCTCCATGGGGCTGGTCACTATGCTCTACGTTAATAGCTTTCCTCTCACATAACTGAAGACGAGTTAAATAATCATCACCATAATTACCTCTGAGCATCAGAAGGCAACGCTCATGAAGTGATGTCTGAAAAGCTGGGAGGAATAGTTTAAAATTCCCAGGAATGAAAGCACCCATCCCTATGCCCCCCTGACTTTCCCTCCTTTGGTTCGCCTCAGAGGTCGCATCTCCTGCTCTCTTGGCTAAGTGGGAGAGCTGGTGTGACAAGCTGTCACCTGTCGGTCCTGGAAGGCTCTTCTGGAAGGCTCTGCTCCCGCGTTAATTGAAGTGGAAGTTAATGACAGGCCAAACTCTGTGTTCAGTGAGGCCCAACAGCACAAGGTGGCAGGAGGGCTGCGGCGCTTGACTTGCCAGCAGGCCGGGCTCCACCACTTTACATGCAGGAGGGAGCAACTCAACAGCTGTCACCGGCAGCCCCTGGGGTCTGCTCCAGACTTGGCAGAGAGGACACCTTCAGACTCCCAATCCGCCTCTTTGAAATTCAGAAGAACCGCACTTTAGAGTCCCCTCCCCCTCTCCCTGACACAAACATACACACAGAAGATAAGCCCTAATTCTCTTACTCACAGACCTACACAGCCAAGCTTTCTGTCTCCCACTCTCCTCTCACACATATTGATAAGTTCTTACGGAGCCCCATTCTCTCTCTTATGCGCGCGCGCTCACACACACACACACACACACACACACACACACAGTCACCTGAATTAAACTCCTGCTCTCTCCTGCCTCACTTCACCCAGTTTCTGCTTCTGAGGGAGCAGAAACCCCTCCGCAGGGCTGCCAGGCCTTCTCCAGGCGTGGCATCCACCCCAATGGTGGACACTGGCCTCCAGGTGTTTGCTAACTCCCGGTTCACTGGCTGAATGTTCCACCTGTCTTCCCAGCCATGGGTGCCTTACAGATAAAACCAGTGAGCTCATGCATGTTCTGGGAGATGGTAAGAACAAAGCACCCTGTTGCTGCAGAGGCCCAGGCCTGCCCTCCAGGCATTTGTCATGTTGCTGGCATTTGAGCTGAGGACATCTCCCACCACAAAAGCCTGTGGTCCTCGGGGGAAATCAGGACTGTCTTCTTTGCAGGAAGCTGGATGTGCATCTGGGGAGGTCCTGGCCAGGCAGCCGTTATTCCTCTCAGGCCCTGGTCAGGACCAGATGTAAATACGCTTTGCTGCTTACTCCTTTTTCTGTCACTCGCACTCAGATTGACCACTTACACATTTTAAAGGTATTTTTGCCAAAGTCCAACATGCGTCTCTGGTGATTGGAACAGATCATGAGAGCGGTCAGTGTAAAAATAGCCTCCTTCAGCAGAGGCTTGAGGCAGATGCAGAGGGGAGGGAGGGAGCCTCCAGTATTGTGCCGGCAGAGCCCAGACAGAGAGAAAGGCCAGGGAGGGAAAGCCGGCTAGTTGGCAGGAAGAAATGAAAATGAGGATCGTATTTGTTCTAGAGGTTGATGAGCTGTGGAGGGCTGCGTTGACGTGTGTCCCCCACTTCACCCTGGGGCATGGAGTGGCATTGGTGCCCTGCCCTCCGCCCCTTTCCCGCACTCACCCTTGGGACTGCCAAGCTGCAGCCATGCTGGGGTCCCCCTTGCATCCTCGCTCTTACCCCCCCCCCCCCCCCCCCCCCCCCCCCCCCCGGCACCCGTGCATGCTCCTCTCTGCCTGGACTTTCCTCCTCCCGTCTCTTTGCCTGATCAACTTCTACTCGTCCTCTGGGACTGAGCAGATGGTGAAGCCACAGATCCCAAATGTGTGGCATGCCAGGCCCTGTCCCAAGCACTGTGTGGGCAGTAACCCATGTTCTGACTGTATAGGTGTGATCATTTCCCCCACTGCGCCAAGGAGAAAGAGTGGTACAGAGAGGTTATGTGACTGGCCCCAGGTCACACAGGTTGGAAGGGGCAGTACTTGTATCCAAACCCAAACAAAGGCTCTAGGTGCCCTTAACCCCACAGGACACTGGCCTTCTGGCTGCTGCTGGGCTCCTTCCCCACCCACTACCTGTGTCAGGGAATCTGTATCCCCTGCGGTTAGGGAGGCCATATCCCCATTTTAAGTGTCTGTTGTCTTATCTGCCTCCCCACTCCCTGTGCAGCTTGAGGCCAGGAACCATGGCTGGCTCATCTCTGGGACACCAGCTCCTCAAAAAGTGCCTGGCACAAAGCAGTGCTCACTGCCTAATGTTGACAGGGCAAATGAATGAATGGATGGATAGTCATCCCTTAAAACAGGCCAACGTCTGGCAGACAAGCTGAGGGCCAAGCAGAGAGCAGGTTGGAAGCATCCAGTGTGGGGTTGGAGGGCAAGGAGGAGAAGCAGACCTAAAAGTGAGAAGTGTCTACCTCCAGCCTTGGAATGTCAACCTCCACTGAAAGGCAGGGGGGGAATAGCTGGCACCTGCAGAGACCTCAGTGCCGGCCCATTAAACCCAGTGCAGCCCCAGGGCTGTCTGCAAGCTGCAGGGTGAGGAAACTGTTCCCCCCACCCTCAACCCCCTGCAAGAGGTGAAACACAAGGAAAGTGATCTTGTAGTAGGAGGCTCCCACTTTTGTGTTTGTTTTGCTTCTGCCGACCCAATGTTATGAAGGCTACAAATGCTGTGGAACAAAGACAGCCGCACCTGACATCTCCTGGCTCCTTTAGCCAATCTCCTGTAGTAGGGAATTGGGTGTTGGGGTGCATGTACACCATTTACACCCCCTCTACCACCCACCTCCCAACAGTGACATTAAGATCGGTGTGCAGGGAGTTGGGGACTCACGAAGCTTCGGTACAGCCATCCTCACGGTGGTGTGTCCACTTATGGCGTGAGACCAGCACAGGTCACACAAATCCTCCTTGAGCCCCTGTCTGCAGGTGCGTAATGGAGGCCTGCCCATGGGGCTCGGGCTATCCTGGATGTCCTAACTCACCGGACATGAGGGCAGGAGAGTGGAAAGCACGTGCATGCTGAGTTCATTTTCTCCTGCTTTCGACTAGAAACCTGACAGTTGGGCTGACTGGCTTCTCCTTCTTCCAGGGAGGGAAGATCCCCGTGAGATGGACAGCTCCAGAGGCCATTGCCTACCGCAAGTTCACTTCTGCCAGCGATGTCTGGAGCTATGGGATCGTCATGTGGGAAGTCATGTCATTTGGAGAGAGACCCTACTGGGATATGTCCAACCAAGATGTGAGTGTCAGCGGTACCTGGTCGCCACAAACCCCCATCGAAGGGTTCCCACAGCCAGTGGCATGCCAGCCCCTCCTCTCTGGTTTCAGCTCAGGGCCTCACAACCTGAACTTGAGACGTCCAGGCAGGAGATACAGGAACCCCCTTGGCAGCAGTGTTTGAACTAATCAAAGAGTCCAGCATGGAGATATGACAATCCCGATACCCCCAGAGCCTGTAAAGGTACCTGGGCCAACCCGGGAGCTCCAGGGCTGGTTCCTAATGGCTGTGGGCCATGAAACACAGCAGGCCCAAATGAAGTAGGAGATTCTGCCCTGCTTCAAAGCGTGCAGCCCCTGTGTTGTCCTTCCGACAGAGGCGGAGCAGAGCTAGTCTATGGGCGGGGCCTCTGACAGATGTGCTGTGTTGAACCAGTGGCAGTTTCTTTTTTTTTTTAATTTTTTTTAACGTTTATTTATTTTTGAGAGAGAGAGAGACAGAGCATGAACAGGGGAGGGTCAGAGAGAGGGAGACACAGAATCTGAAACAGGCTCCAGGCTCTGAGCTGTCAGTACAGAGCCCGACGCGGGGCTTGAACCCACAAACTGCGAGATCGTGACCTGAGGTGAAGTCGGACACTTAGCCGACTGAGCCACCCAGGTGCCCCGAGTGGCAGTTTCTATGTAGCTCACACCTCTCAACTTTAAAGAGAGGAACTGGAAAGGGCCCTTCTTTCCTGAGAGTCTACTCTTCTGGGGGCCTGTCACCTGTCACTGAAGGAGGAGCTGAGCAAGCTTCCCAAAGTTGGTCAGATTCAGATGGCCAGCAGGAGTGGGACCCTGTCTCTGGGGAGGTGATGAGCACCCCTCCAGGCTTTAAGCGTCTAAGATGCTTTAAGCAGAGGTGTTCCAGATGAGACCCTTTGCTTCATAACTATTAAGCGGTGAGGAAGCCTTTTGAGGATGATTTGCTTTGTTAAGGCCCCAATCGAAAGTCCTATCTGAATTTCCACACTGCCTTTGATCCTGGGCTGTTCCCGCCCCCTCCCCCCCCCCCCCCTCCGACCATTCCGCTTTTGTATTTTCAATACATACCCTCCCCCTGGAGCTGAGAGGGTTGCAAAAACTGCATTCCTCTGTTCTTACTCTTCTCATCTCCCCGGGGGGCAGTTATTATCTTTCCCAACCTAGCAGCAGGATGAGGCAGGGCTCTCCCCAGTCCAGATCTGCTCCACTGGGCAATCAGCTGCACCATAAGCACCTCCATGCTTGGTGGCTCCGGGGCCCTGTTAACTGGAGAAATCTGGCCTCAGTGAGCCCTCTCTCCAGCCCGAGGTTTAGAGCCATGGCAGGTGCTCAGGCGACTGAGAAAGGTGGTGATCTGGGAGCTGGGCTCCTGCTGTGAATGTGCGCCCTGATCCCATGGGCGCAGTGGCGTCAGCCCAGGGCAGGTGAAACGGCTGCATTGTTAACCAGGTCCCAGGGCCACGTGTGGCGTGTAGGCCCCCTCTCATCTATGATTATCCCCGCCTCGCCTCTGCCCTGTAGCATGTCAGAGCAGTAAGTGTCAGAATTGATGCTGAGGCTGCGCTCATGAAATCAGCCGCACCCGGCTGCATCCATACCGTCAGCTGGAGCAGTCATAAATGTGATCCAGGAAACAGGGAGGCCCTTTTCTGAGACTCTAATCCTATTAAGAACAATTCAGCACACATAGAATGGATTATGAAACTGACAGGCAAGATTTGACATTCAAGATCTTCTCAGCAAATGAATTCACTTCTGCTGAAAACAAATGGAATTTCTGATATTAGACTTCCAGAATTCCCAGATCATTCATTCAGCAAACACTCATTGCTGCTAAGCATTGTGCTTGCCGGTTCCGTTCTCGGCTGTTCCCAGTCCAGCGGCACCTACTCCATGGGGCTGTGGGAACATTTAGGCGAGGCGGGGAGGTAAAAAAGGCTTCCCAGATATTTGATGCTTGAGCTGGGTCTCAAAGGGAAGAGGAACATCTGCAAAATAGCAGTTTATTTCAATTTTGTTGTATTTCTCCAACACGAGGCCCCTAAGCATTGTCCCAAGTGCATTTGTGCTCTGGGTGGAAAGCGGGGTGGGGGGTGCCTTTGGCCCACTCGGAACCGGCCCGGCCTGAGAGGGAGCCAGGAGGGGCCGCAAGTGGCCGGGCTAGAGCCACACTCATCAGAAACCGCAGAGGTGGTGGCAGTAAAGGGTTCTACAGATGACAGTTGAAAGGCCTTAAGAAAGGGAATTGCAGAGGCAAGTCAGAGTGCTGGTAATTGGGCTTCCGGAGCCCAGGAAGGTCTTTGAACATGTACAGAGAGTTTGTCAGCCAGAGAGAGAACTTGGAAGTTCTGCTGCTTGGATCTGATTGACAGAGATAATGAGAGTGGCAGTGTCTGTGGAGAGGAGCTGTGGTTTTACTGAAACATCAGAGCTCAACTTAACCCCCTCTGCCCTGGTTCCTCCACTGCTCTGAGCTTCTCCACTTCACTCTCCTCTGCGGAAGGTGGAGCAGGTACCGCCCAGCTCACTAATAGGAAATGTGGTCTGAGCGAGGCTAGGGGCCCTCTCATCCCCCAGGAAGCTCTAGTCACTTCCCCGAGGCACATGAGTCAGACCGCCTGCCCCGTCCCCACCCAACCCATCCAACCCCAGCCCCCAGCACGTGCCTTCTCCGGGTACAGGGGAAACAAAAGCAGCCCCTCTCCCCTCCCTGCCCCAGCTCTTGAGGGCCCAGAGCATCGGCTTACGCTGGCCGTCGGAGGCCCGAAGAGTTGCTGCAGACCACTCCAAGTGAGGTGGCAGCCTGCTCTGCTTGGGTGACAGTGGCCTCTCTCGGGCTGGTTCTCTTCACCACCACACCCTCACTCTTGCTTCTCTCTGGAAATGCCATCTGATCTCATTCTAATCGCCAGTGTTTTCAACATCCATTTATCTCATCCTGTTACAGACCAAGGAAGGGGGCCCAGGTCTGACCCCAGTTTTCAAGTCTGCTCAGAAGAATACCTTACACCCCCCACCTTGGGCCAAATCTTTCCACACAATTCAAACGTGGTCACTGGTGTTTACAGCCATCAGGTGGTCGGATGGAAGGGGCTTCTCCATGTCTCCTCCCAGTTTCCCACACCTGCTAGCAAGGCAGGTGTGACAGAGAATGATCCCAAAACCCCATTAGAGGACCACAGTTATTTTTTTTGAAATAACGATGTTTTAATTTGATTACAAGTTCTATACTCAGGAAATTTGGAAAACACCCAGATTCTTAAAGAGAGTAAACCCCTCCAAAGGCATAGCACTTCAACGAAAGGCTTGGGTAGATAGATGCTACCCACACATCAATTAATGACTTAGGTAATTTTTTCTTTGGGGTGGAAGGTAAAGGTTGTTTTTTTGTTTTTTTGTTTTTTTTTTTTTTCCAATGTGCAAGAGGCATCAGTGCTCCCAGAATATCAGCTTGAGTAATGACAACAAAATTATGTAGAAGAGATAGCAAATGGCACGAAGTCCCATTTTGTAAACATGAGCATGGCTATCCTATATCCTGAAAGGTGAGAAATAGGAATCTGGCCATTAATCAACCCCCCACTATGTGCTTCGTGCTTCTCAAAACACTGTGGCCCTAGATCTGCAGTGACCAGCAGCAGAACAGTAACCTCCTTTGCAGGGACAAGTACCGTAGTAGATGTGGCAGGAATGACAGCCTCCATCTGACGAAGATATTCCCTCTACCATTCCTTCAGGTGTATGGTGCTCAACATCACCTCACTGTGCCATGTAATCTTTTTAATAACCCTATCTGTGCAATTTCCAGAAGTCAAGTGACTCTCCCAAGGTTCTGGAGCTAATAAGAAGTGAAACTAGGATTTGAACCCAGGCCTCCAGTGTCTTCGCCCCTAGCTACAATGCCACACCATCACCAGCACCATGTGGGGGTCTGCACTCCTGGCCGACCCACAGGGAGGAGGGATCAGTGGTTCTGATATCCTCTTAAAAAGAAACCATACCAGACAGGCACGGGAAATACAAAACAAATGGCAGGATAGTCTTCAAAATTTCCAGTGAGGTGGCATGCGGAGGAGACGGGAAGCGTAGCTAAGTTGCATTTAGCCCAGACCTCACAGACGGAAGACTCAGTCCATGTATGGGTCCCCCAGTCTCTTGGTGCTCTGCCAGGAGTGGTTGGGCCAGCTGGTCACACCATGGAGATGTGCCCCCTGACTCCAGTACTCCTTCCTGTTACAGGAAGACGAGAGGAAAACTTGTCAGTGGGAAGAATTAAGTACTTGGGGCTCTGGCACCACATAATTTGAGCAGAGATGCCAACAGTTTAGGGCAACATGAGCTGCCCTGCACTGGAAGACTTTGGGGTCCCCGATCCCCATGAGAAGTTGAATATGGACACTAGCCCTTCCTGCTGGCCCTGCCTAGCTTGTCCTTAAGGAACCCCAAATGAGCTCGGGGGCCATTCAGTGGATAATCCCACTTATCTCCACAGTGAGTGGGGGCTCTGTGACAGGGCCCCTGGGTCTGGCTGCCTAGAAGGAGCTGGAAAGGGTGCCAGTTTATGAGCCACGCTGATGCGAATGATGCCTGGCCACTCCTCCTCATGGATTACTTGGTTTAGCTCCATACCCCTGTTTCCTGCCGTGAAGACATCAAACAGCTCCAAGGACTACTCTTCAGGTCGAGATTACAATGGCAGCCCCACAGAGGCCTCAGGAAAGTGGGCTTCAAGGTGTTCCAAACTTAAAAATCAGACACCTCTATGATTTATTCTCAGTCCTGCCATTTCCTAGCTGTGGGTCATCAGGCAAGTTACTCCACTGTGTGTGCCTCTATTTCCTCATGGGGAAAATGGACTGTAATGCCCTCCTTAGAGGAAAGCAGGTAATTTGATTGACAGAAGTTTGGCGGGGGTAAAAATTTATCGGCGAAGCAACATACTATTCAAAAAGTGCACGTTCCCAGTCACCAGTTTGTGTATAGAACTGATACCAGTGTGGTTTGTATCCTTGTTTGTTTTTCCACCACCTAGAATAGAAGCAATAATACACCTTGATTATCTCTAATGACTTCAGGTCATATCTCATGCCCCACTCCATGTCCTATATCCTGGGCATAGAATTTGTAAAAATACAAACTGATTGAAAATACTTTCTGACCGATCTACAAAGTTTAAAAAAAAAAAAAAGAAGAAGAAGAATCCGTTGAAATGAATCTGACATTTTTTAAAGTAGAGGTAAAAACACCTGAAAATCTCTGAACTCCAAATTATTTCCTTTGTTGTTGAAGGTGCTTGAACTGTTTATTTTAATATAAAATCAATGTATAATTATTATAGAAAGTAAGAACACAAACGAGCATGAAAAGCACTCATGTGTCTACCTGCCCAGAGGCAACCGCCATTTAATGCCATGCCATCTATTTTTCCGAGGTCTTTTTTATGCATGTGTATAATTACTGTTTTTTTGTTTTGTTTTGATTTTTGTTTTTACAAAAGCAAGATTATACTATACCTGCAGTTATGCAGCCTGCTCTTTTCCCTAAGATTACAGTGTGAGTATATTTCCATTTCAACAGATACATTTTTACATCACTTAAAGGTGCTCATTGTACACCAGGCCTTCCATCACCGTAGGAGGGCACCGTAATAAATTCCCATGTTTAGCACTGGGTCATTGACAGTTATTTTTGCTATTACAAAAAGCACAGAGCAGTCATAATCTATTTAAATGAATTGGAAATTAAGATATAAAGTGTGAAATAAGCTCTTGCAACCATATGAAAAGCAGACCAAACTATGTAAAGATTCTAAGATCTTGACAAAATTATCCCCTGGAGCCTGCAAAAATTACCAAAACCTCATTGGCCATATTCACTTTAGTTCACCTTGTTATTTTGACCGTTGTCATTGCACTTAACTGATTTGTGTAGTCAAATTCTCTTCAAGCCAGTTCATGTTGCTGCATCATGAAGGTCAAGGCAAACAATGCACAGGAAGCATCGAGAGTGGCCCTAGCATGGAGTAGGCTCTCTGTTAAAGGCTGATTCCTTCCCTCCTTTCTCTTCTCTTAGCAGTGTAAGGATGAAGCCACCACAGGCTTTGGTGGGGGTCCTTTATTTTTTTTTAATTTTTTTTAACGTTTATTTTTGAGGGACCGAGCACGAGCGGGGGAGGGGCAGAGAGAAAGGGAGACACAGAATCCCTAGCAGGCTCCAGGCTCCCAGCCATCAGCACAGAGCCCGACAGGGGCTTGAACTCACAAACTGCGAGATCATGACCTGAGCTGAAGTCGGAATCTCAACCGGCTGAGCCACCCAGGCTTCCTGATGGGGGTCCTTTATAAAGAACAAATGTCCACTAGGTTTCCTGTGTGCCATCTCATCATCACTGCCAGCTGCAAAATTGGGCCTGATGTCCTCTTAAAGAGAGGAGAAGCTCAAGCTATTCACCAGCTCATTCTTTAGTAAGCATTTACAGAGATCTAGTGTGTGCCAGGCCTCACTGCGGGTACTAGGGACAGTCTAGGGGGGAAAGCCAAGTACACGTCAAATCCATTATGGAGAGAGGTATATGAGCACAGAATGAGGGAGGCTCCATCCTTGGGAGCTACTTTGTGAATGACTGGCGGGTGTCTCATCACCCAATCATACCCGTTCCCATGTGTGTCACTACAGGTCATCAATGCCATTGAGCAGGACTACCGGCTGCCCCCACCCATGGACTGTCCAGCTGCTCTACACCAGCTCATGCTGGACTGTTGGCAGAAGGACCGTAACAGCCGGCCCCGCTTTGCGGAGATTGTCAACACCCTGGACAAGATGATCCGGAACCCGGCAAGTCTCAAGACTGTGGCAACCATCACCGCCGTGTGAGTCTCGTGGAATAGGGTGGTTCGTAGGTGTGGGTGGTCTCATAACTAGGGGCAGGCCCAATAGCAAGGCTGCTAGCCTTTTGATCTATTGAGAGCAAGGGTGAGGTGGCTAACCTTATCCACTAATGGAAGAGAGTCCAAGACTTCCTGTTTCCTTTTTCCTTTCCATCTTTCTAAAATATTCCCTGCCTACAGCATGGGCTATAGACAGATATCAAGATACCTGTCTGGGTCTCCACTGTCTGCTGGCTTCAGATGGGCTGGGCACTGGGCTCTGTAATAATTGAATGTGTCTGATAGGAGTGGTATGAGGCCCCACTTCTGGGAGATCCTGTTTCCAGAAGGCACACTTTTTGTTAACCACACAAGGTAGAACTGCAGACTTGGAACCTTGGCCAACCTATTAGCCGCTAAAGGCCCTGATTGCTATGGGACACAGAAATAAAAAGCCATCGGATTTGTTATGAGCAAATGCACAGAACAATTTTCATCTCCTGTCAGTAGCTGTCAGCTGTATATTATTCCTCTACATTGCAGTGTTAACTGATTTATTAATATTTCAACCAAAGTTTATTGGGCATGTATGTGCTAAGCACTGTGCCCCTTGCAGTATAGAATGAATAAGATAGACATGATTCATGTCCTCATGGAACTTTGAATCATTTAGGAGGGGCAAGACCAGATGATCACCCAAAGAAATGCAAAATTGAGACCTTGATAGCCACTGTGGCAGGGAGGTGCGTGGTGTTGGAGAGGTAAATGGATACATGCGATACCTGCGTGTCAGGGAGGCATCTCTGATAAGTGTTATTCCAGTTGAGCACTGAAGGGAGGAAATGCATGAATTGAATGAAAGGAAGATGAGAATCAAGGGACAAGTGTTCCAGACCAAGGAACAGCATGAACAGAGGCTCGAGGGTAGGAAGGACAGGACCAGTGTGTTCTGAGTCCAGTCTGTGAGGGGACTGGGTCAGGGCTGAGGCTGGCAAGGTGGGCAAGGGCCAGACGCTCAGAACATGTGGGCCCTGCTAAGAATTCTGGGCTTGATTTTCAGAGTAGCGAGCACCCATTGAAGGATTTGACACAAATCAGGGTCAGGGTGAAGGTTATGGACATGATCGCACCTGCAGTTTTCAAAGAGCACCAGGCCACAGTGTGGACCTTATGTTGAGGGGAAGGAACATGCGTGAAGACCGACAGGAGGATATTGCAGGAATAATGGCAGAGAAGATAGGGTCTTCAGTCAGGGTAATGATGCAGAAAGAGGTGGAGGAGTATGAGATATTTTGGAGGTCAAATCTTTAATTCTTGGTGAAGGACTGGGCATGGGTGTTGGGCGTTGAGGGATATATTAAGGTGGCACCCTGCTTTGTGGATTGGATAGTGAAGTGTCTGCTTTGAGAATGTCCCAGAGAAGATCAGCGGAGAGCTGCTCTGTTCCAATTAGCTGAGGATAGAACCAGGAAAAAAAAAAAATGGTACCAATAGATTTGGGAAGGTTGTAGTGAACTTTATATATTTTTAATGGTGAAACTTTGGATGGTAAAGCTCCTAGGTTCCAGTTTACAAAGGAGTTATGGGCCTTCTCTTCCCTCCAGACTTCATGCTGTGTCAGTCTAGCTGTCTGAGCTGACTGATGCGAGACAGGGCCCGTAGGCAGGGGTACCAGCCATCTCGCCTCCAGAAGTTATGCCCACTCAGGATTCTGTAAGGCAAGAAGGGTCAGCACAGGGCTCCCCTGTAATCTTCATCCTGTCAGGAAAGAATTCTCATCCTACATGAAGTCTGCTGTCTGCCCAGAGTGTGGCTCTATCCACGCACCTTTGCAGCTGTGGGGTTACCTGCTTCTCTCTCTCTCTTTCTCTCAGGCCTTCCCAGCCCCTGCTAGACCGCTCCATTCCAGACTTCACGGCCTTTACCACCGTGGATGACTGGCTCAGTGCCATCAAAATGGTCCAGTACAGGGACAGCTTCCTCACAGCCGGCTTCACCTCCCTCCAGCTGGTCACCCAGATGACATCAGAGTAAGTGATAAAAATCTCCTCTCTGTATCCCGTGGGTGGGGATCAAGGCTCCTTCCCTGCTATTGCTCATGGTACAAGTTTTGATTTCTGCCTCACCCCCAGAGCTCCACTTCTGTATAGAATCAGATCTGGTGGTGAAGCGCCCTGGAAAGATGGAGGGGTGGGATGGGGAGGCTGAGGTCCAGTCTGGCCCCAAATGAGAGTTCTTCAAAGTCATAGCCATATGTCATTTGCCTAATCATCAAGACTCTCTCCTCCATTTGTTTTCAAACTTAACCCATCAAAAAGAGCATCCAGATGGAAAGAACACAGCCAGCCAGCACTTTCAACAACATAGCAGGAAGAGGCACTACACTGATTCAGCAACAATCTCAGACGTGTGGGGAGCTCATATTTGTACTTAGATAGCGCATGTGAATAAGCATACATTTCCATCTCCCACAAATTATTTACCAGTCTGCAATTCCCACAGGAGTATGGAGGAATGCGAAAACTAAAATTATTCAAATAAGATGAGAGCCAGAAAGGGTCTTAAAGATCCATTAGTCCGTCATTTCCCCAAGAATGTTCTGAGCAGCACCAGTTCTGGGAAATGTTAATAGGTTCTCCTTGGAAAAAAGGTCCCATGGTCAAATAAATTTGGGATATACTGCGTACTTTATCACCCTTTTGGAGATTCACTACACATATTAGCATTCTAAAGGCCATGAGAAATCCTGAAATAAAGAAACCCATTTAAAATTATTAAATACTGTGGAACCATATTTTTGAGGGGCAGGGTTTCGTGGAACTGTAGTTTGGGAGATACTCATCTACTTGTACTCATTCCATTCAGCAGATTCAGAAAGTAGGTGAATTAGTGCCTGAACACTCAGTGCTCACGAGTGGCAAAGCAGGGCCTGAGAGCTGCTTTCCTGATGGCTAATTCCATCTCCTTCTACCAGTCCACCCCAGGGATACAGCGATGCCCATACATGGTGGCACACTGGACTCACCTGGGAATCTTTAAAAAAATATTGTTGCCTGGGGCATCTGGGTGGCTCAGTCAGTTAAGTGTCCAACTTTGGCTGAGGTCACGATCCCACAGTTTGTGGGTTTGAGCCCCGCATCAGGCTCTGTGCTGACAGCTGGGAGCCTGGAACCTGCTTCAGATTCTGTGTGTGTCTCTCTCTCAAAAATAAACATTAAAAATTTTTTTCTTAAACATATTGATGGCTGATTTCCATGCCTAGATCTTCTGATTTAAGTGGTATGAACTGAGACCTGGGCATCAGGGTGTTTAAAACTCCCCAGATGATTCTAACATGCAGCCAAGGCTGGGAACAAGTTGGCAAGGGTCAAATTTTGAATAGACACATCCCCACAGAGGAGACTTCACCAGCTGCCTGGGCCACAACGTTTATAGACAACATGGGGGTTGGTGGCTTGTGATACACATTTCCCACTGTAGAGGACTGGTCGGTCCTCCAGGCAATTGACAAACACTTACTGATCGCCTGATACATGTCAGGCACAGTGCTAGGTGCCAGGATTCCCTCTCGAGGTGGGCCAGTTGCTGAGTCCCAAGGGAGAGGCAGGGTCCCATCCAGCCCCAGCAGTTGAACCTCAGAGGAACAGCTTCTGTCCCAGACTCCTGCTTTGCAGTCAGTCTTCCTGGAGTCCCACTCTACCTCTTTTTTTTTTTTTTTTTTTTTTAATGTATTTATTTTGAGAGAGAGTACACAAATGAGCTGGGGAGGGGCAGAGAGAGAGGGAGAATCCCAAGCAGGCTTCGTGCTGTCAGTGCAGAGCCTGACACAGGCTCAAACTCATGAAAACCGTGAGATCATGACCTGATCTGAAACCAAGAGTGGACGCCTGCTCAACCAAGCCACCTAGGCACCCCCACTCTACCTCTTTGAGGTTGATTCTTGCCAGAAATGATGGAAGTTCCGCTTTTCCTAGGGAGATGGCTTGAATGTGCATCTAGCCTAGCATCCACTAAACAACAGAATTCATTTTTTAAATGTGAGTTCATTTTCCGTTGATGCCATATAAAGGCAGTCCCTGCCACTATGAATTATTGTCAGGCACCACCATCACCAACAAAAGCAGCACTTACCAGTGGAAAAGCAGCTTCCCCATCTTGCAGAGCTGGCATGGATGCCCTAGATGACCAGAGAGCCCGGGTTCAGGGGCAGCAATGGGTGCTCATGCTGGTGGGGCTGCGCCTGCTTCCTCACTGTGATGTGGCTGAGTATGGAGCCATCACCCCCTAACCCCCCACAACTGGAGGAATCCAATGGAGCAATTTCCTCAGTCTGGAAAAGGAAAAATTAAGGGATTTAGTTCAAAGTAAAAAATGCCCACACGCTATTGGAGCAATTTAGTTTGTTTCTTGAGAGATAAAAGATGGAAAAAGAACATGAGCTACTAAATAAAATAGATTGCAGGACAATTTGTGAATTCAGAATTCAAGCATGCCTCTCAGAAGTGTTTGCTGAAAAGACATGGACAATTTGACAATCTGAGCCAGCTGCAGCTCTGAGGGGGTTGACCGCCAGCTGTAAGGGGGTGTTGAGGAGAGCACAGGAGCCTGGTGCAGCCTTGTGGGTCTGGTGCACAAAGTGATCTGCTATGCCAGGGGCAGGGGCCTTTGGGGGAATATAGTCAGGACCTTAGAACAGTTCTGATAGCAGCCCTACAGGGTGGCTGAAAACCAAGTAGTCTTGAATTTGAACCCCAGTTGCACCACCAGTTAGTTACCTGCTGTGTGATCTTGAGCATGTTACTTAACTTCTCTGAGCCCTACTTGTCTTGTTCATAAATGAGCAAAAAATAAGAGTACCCATCTCATTGGTTTGTGGTGAAAGGTTAATGGAATAATGTATACAAAGCACTTGGCCTATTGCCTGCCTACAGAATGCACGCAAGAAACAATTGCTTTTAAATTATTATTACTGACCTTGAGTGGTTTGTCAATTTTCATGAACTGCTTCCTTAGCTATACAGGAGATAGTATATGGCACATGAGAAATACTTGAGCAATGCTATAACATTATTATTATTATTAACTAGGGAAAGATGCATGGGTCTCCCCAAAATTAAGACTCACAGCTTAAAGATGAGTACAATCCAAACCCCTATCCTAAACATATTACTTAGATTCCTGGTTGGGCAGATATTTGAAAGTTATTTTGAGATCACCCTTCTTAAAAATTCATGACATTAAAATTCAAACAGAGGCAGAAAATGGAAACTCAGGGGAAAAACATCAGAAAACTAAGCAAACCCCACATCTTTTCAATCTCAGTGGGTGATCACTAATTTAGGCAGAAAGCTCCGCAGCATAACAGAAGCCCCATATTGTGTGTGCGTGGAGTGTTAAAACACACACACACACGCGCGTGCGAAAGTTCCAGTCTGCCTAGGGTCATGGAAACAATGAAGGGGCTGCTCCAGCCAACACCCATACGTGAGGAACAGGGCACGACACTTCCAGGATTGTCTAAGTTGGGAGGGGGCCATTGGAGACGAGGGCCACTGCATGAAGCAAATGAGATTGAGCAAGAAAATACCTATGTAGGCATTTGCCAAAGACTTGGGTAATCTGAGTGTTGGATTTTAAACACTTTTATTTGCCTACCCACCTAATTCAAGAGCTTGCCTTCTGTGATGAGTTGTGATCCTTGAAAAGCTGCCGTAACACTAACGTGCCCTTTTTTTGTGACTTTTTCCCTCCTAGAGACCTCCTGAGAATAGGGGTCACCTTGGCAGGTCATCAGAAGAAGATCCTGAACAGCATTCATTCTATGAGGGTCCAGATGAGTCAGTCACCAACGGCAATGGCATGAGAACTCTCATTTTCTGGGGGGAGGAGAGGAAGGAAAAGGACCATGCTCAAGAGGGAACCAGAGGTTGACCACTGTGGAATGTTCTGGAAAGAGTGGCTTCTCAGCTAAGAAATGCATTACATCAGTGAAGAAGAGACTGGACCTGTTCTTAATAGGCAATCTTCATTTCTTAGTGACAGAAGCATGTATAAGATGCCGTGGGAAACCAAAACATAATAATAAAAATATGAAGGGGTGATGTTCGACAGAAGTGAAGACAAAACAGTATGCATCGGGGCAACCAAGAGTAAACTCCGCTCCCACTCGGGGCTGGAGTCACCGATCCACAGGAAGAAAGGGAAGGAGGTAGAGGGAAGAAACAGAGGCAGTTTTCCATTTTCTTCCTCACCAATGACATTCTTTTCTTTTCTCCTTTTGTACTCCTCCCCACGAGCCCTCTCCCTTCTCCCACATCCATTTCCCTTTGCTCATGACTCGTGTAGGGAAGTTTCTTCAAACAAACCCCAGCTCCTGAGTCTCCAGATGTCGTTCTGTCAGTTGCCAAAGGACTTTGCTGACCACTGCATGGGGGATCCAACCAATTCAATTAATGTCTTCATATTGAAGAAGAGATGTACCTTCAATTGAAAACCTTGTTTTTCTTTTGTTTGCATTTTCTGCAAAAAGGAAAAAGAAACCACAAATTGGAAAAAAAAAAAAAAAAAAAAACCTGTTTCCGTGTGCAGGAGCACACATATGTATGTCTGTGTTATAAAAATGACTGTGCTTGTTCGTAACAGATGCAAACAAGAAAGAAGAACCGGGAGATCTTTGCCCCTGGAAAATCCAAAGGGGCTGGAGCATGTTGTTGGTTTGGTGTTCTGGTTGGCCCAGTTGGCCTATTGGCCCAATGGGGAGAGAGAGCAGGGAGAAAAATAAAATTAAAGGGGAAAAAACTCTCAGGAGCTTGCAAATTCAGACAGGAAACAGGTGAGTGGTTTGAATTGGATGCAGTGTGGGCCATTCTAGAATGATACTGACTGATTATTCTTGGTAACATCTGAAGAGAAGGAGAAGGAAAGTGTTTCTGGAGAATGTTCTTCCACATCCCTAGAATCTGTAATTCAAGAGATGGCAAGGGAGAATTCTTCTTACCTTATTTGTGGACTGGCTTAAGCCGTGTGGCATCCGAGGAATGTTTCAAATGTGTCTGTGTTTCTCCGCATTCCTTCTTGTACCTCATTGTTCAATTCACTTTTGTAAATTCCACCTAACATTTAAATATTTTTAATTTCTCCTTTTATCTTAATCTCCTTGCTAATTTTATCTGTCTAATTAAAATGAGCAGAAGCATGTCTGGGTTTACATAGAATGGTGTCAGCGTGTGTGTTCTCAGACCCCAGTGGGTCTGTCCCCAAGTTACAGGAAAATCCTTAATGACTATCCTTCTTCCGCCTCATATGAGAGGGAAGGAATACATCCCGGATCCTGTGCCTCCCAAGAAGCACTATATATAAGAATCATTCTCACTGATGTGACCCAAAGGAAGAACTGAATGAATAAATATGAGGCTCTGAAGAAGTCACTGGCAGATAAATATAAACAATCACCGATAATACACCATCAGCCCTGATTTCAGTTTGCACATTGCATTTGTGATGTTCATATCCAGGCCAGTTTTGTAAAAGGCGCTAAAGACTATTTTAGACTGCTTGCTTGTGGTGTGTCTGTGAACAAGCAGTTGGAGGGGAGGGTGTGAGCCAGTAAAGGAGCCATAGTTCCCATGTGGCTTATTTAATGTAAATTGAAAGTGAGATGAGCCTTTTCCCCCTAGTCCTCGGTAACTTTGTACTTGGGGAGGTCTTACCTTCTGAAGCTCCTTCAAAGAGGCTCATGGGCCTACGGGTACAGCTCTGATGCAGGGGAGCCCGATCTGAAAGCATCACCCTTGTGTGTAACCCCTGGGGGACAAAGGGAGATGGACAGAAGTATCTCAGAAGATTTGCATATGGTTACAAAGAGCCCCAACCCAGCATGTAGCGGGTAGAAGAGAAAACTTCCCCTTATTAATAGCGTAGCAATCCCATGCACAATTTGCTAATTACCCCAAAGACCTGAATCCATGAAGTGTCTTACAAGCCTAGGCAATTTGGCTAATCTACTCTCAATTTTCCATAGGAATGAATTTTAATTTGTCACCAAATTTCTCAGGCAGCATCCTTAACCTGAAGTCTTCACTGTGCTTCCACCGGTGCCAGCCCACCTTCTGGCTGTCCACAAAGCAAGGTCAAGGTGAAAGTCGGGTCACACCCTTTGGTTTGGTTTCACCGTAAGATCCCACAAAGGAGACAGAAAGTGTGTGTGAGAGAGAACCCAAGGGCACATGGGAAAGCACGAGGGGTCAGCAGAGCCAAGGCCAGGGCACCTGGAGGCATAGTTATCAGTAGGAGGGGCATGGCCAAGCTCTGGACATGCTCCCCCGCCCCTGCAGATGCTCAGCACAGTTCAGCATGCCAGGCTTCCCCACCCCACACCCTGAAATGCGGTATATCTCTAGTGATTGAGACATCAGGCCTTCCCTCTGTAGCACGGGGCCAGTCACCGACCTCTCTGAGCCTCTTATGTAGAGTCAGATAGTCGTAACCACCTTTGATGAGGCCTAACGCTCCTGAGCAGGTTCTCTATGCCAAGCACAGTCTAAGTACTTTGCATCTATTAACTCTCTTCTTCACGAGCATCTTATAAAGCAGTAGCAGATACTTCATCACCCCCAGTTTCCAGATGAAGAAACAGAGACAAGACCTTCCCTACATCACACAGTGGTGGAGTCAGGATTTTGCCTCAGCAACCTGATTCCATGCTCCTACCATTTTCCCAGGGGGTCTCACACTTGAGCATGCATTAGTATCATCACCTGGAGGGTATGTTGAAACACAGATCACTGGACCCGACCAACAAGTTTGCTGACTCAGTAGATCTGGGGTGGAGTCCAAGAAGTGGCCGTGTGGTGCCAATGCTGCTGGTCCAGGGACCACACTTTGGGAGCACTGCGCTACAGTAACCTGCCTTCCTGGAGTTAGTAACAGATGTAAAGTTCTTGACTCCAGGAGTGATAGTTATTAAAGTTCTTCTGCCACCGGCAAAGAGACGAATGAACCCTCACCCTCTTGGGCAGGAAGCGATGGGAGAGGCTGGTCTCTTGCACAGGGGTATCTGTGCCCATTGACAGTTTGGTGCCAAGACACTTTACTCACACCCTCAAAAGAGAGCTCCCTGGGGAGAATGCTCACTGGATCAAGACCCCAGGCCTCTGAATTTCAGTTAGACAAGTTACTCTATCACCTGGCAGAGGATAAATTCCAATTCAGCTTTCTTTTTTTACATTTTTTTTTTTGAGTGAGAGCAAAAGAGGGAATGTGAATGAGTGGGGTAGGGGATGTGCAGAGAGAGAGGGAGAGAGAGAATCCCAAGCAGGCTCCACACCCAGTGGTGAGCCCAACGTGGGGCTCAATCCCATAACCACGAGATTATGGCCTGAGCCAAAATCAAGAGTCAACTGCTCAACCAACTGCGCCACCTGGGAGCCCCCAGATTCTTTCTTAAAAACACGTTTTGCACAGTGGACAGAAGTCTGTGGCCTTCTAAGTCAGCCTAAAGACATGGAACCTACGGCCATGCTATGCAGCCCAAGATATGACTTACAGATGGGCATTCTCGGCCAGGCACACCTGCAGCCACCAAGGCTCATGTGTGTGAGGACTTCACAGGGGACAAGTGGGCAATGTTTAATTAGGACCCCTGGCTCAGGGGTTATGGGAATGGAAGTGATTTGTGGAAAAGACTTAAAGACTATGACCCACCTCTCTGTGCTTTCTCCCTGCCCCCACCCCCCCAATAAAGGAAGATGGTAATGAAGGATACCAAGTAGATACATCTACAGAGCAGGTGTTTACTGTATCATCTGAAGATCACTGGAGCTCATAGATGTCAAACAGGTATCTATACTACTAAAATCACACACCTGCTCCTACCCACCACCTCCCTCTTATGCCCCTGACCCTTGCAAAGTTATGTGTAGAGCTGAATCAGTGGAGTCCCCTAGGATAATCGAAACCAAGTAAGGACAGAAGTTACTCTTCGCATGCATTTGTGAAAAGAACAGAAACCAGTGAGGATTGAGGAATAGAACTCCAGGAATATTGTGGACAGGAGGAGTGAGACATCCGGCAGAAGGGTGAGAATCTACAATGTGTCAGTTAAAAGTACAAGATTCTAGTACAGGTTTTGTTCTAAGAAGGCCGTGGTGAGCTAGCCTGGGAACCTCATTACCATTTCAGAAATAATAATGGCTCTGACCCCCACTGAGTAAGGGCAAGTGATGCAAGGGAGAAGCACAGCCATGATGGAGTAGTAGCAGCAAACAGGTATCATCCAGGATTCTCTGCCACCAAGAAGGCTCAAAGGACACTTAAGATCCATGTCAGAGCGAGCTTTGCTTTCATAGAGACGCCTTGCAGTTCCTATAGAAGTTACAGGGTCGTTTTCAAACATAGCCAGAGGTCTTGCATCATCTAAAATATCAGTGGGGCTAGTGGTTGGTGGTGGTAGAGGGGAATCACTGAAACTACAGAAAGGTTGTCAAAAGGGGGAGGGCGTGGCTGGATCACACTGAAAGCTCATTCAAGTTGATTGAAGTCAAATGGTGACTATGTTCACCACCAGGGAGTCTCTTGAGACCAGCAATTTCCAAAGAACAGGTCCACAGGGGCCTGAGAACAAACTCTTGGTCCCTCTCAAAGAGTGCCAGCCCTGGTGGTGGGCAGGTGGGGGTTTAAGTGTTCTGCACATCCCATTTAAGGGTAGGTGGGATGGACAGCCTTGGGCAGTGGTGGATGGACCTCCATTGCACACCTGGCAGGAAAGGAGAGCCCTCTGCTCTTTTAGCCCCACCCCTGCATCCCTCCTGAGCTGACCCTGTTTTTTAAGGCCCTTGATGGGTTCCTTTGTTGCTGGGAGTCATG